GATGTATTACATTAGACAGAGTACAAAAGAAAGAAAGAAAGAATTACTATCTTTATTATCAGGGTGTACCAAGAAGTCAGTCAAGTCGCTTCAGCTGATTCAAAATGCTGCAGCTCATGTACTAACCAGAGTTAGGAAAAGGGACCACATTACTCCTGTTCTGGCTGCCTTACACTGGCTCCCTATAGAACACAGGATAGAATTTAAAATTATTCTTCTCGCCTACAAAGCCCTTAATGGGCAGGCGCCATCTTACCTTAAAGAACTCATTATACCCTACTGTCCTACTAGGGCATTGCGTTCCAAGAATGCAGGGTTGTTGGTTGTTCCTAGAGTCTCTAAAAGAACAATGGGAGCCAGAGCCTTTTCTTATCAAGCTCCACATTTGTGGAATCAGCTTCCAGTTTGTGTTCGGGCGGCAGACACCCTATCCGTTTTTAAGAGTGCGCTTAAGACCTTCCTTTTTGATAAAGCTTATAGTTAGGGCTGATTAGATTCAGCCCCTAGTTTTGCTGATATAGGCTTAGTTTGTCGGGGGACATCTTACTTCTTCCTTCTCTCTGTCTATACCTGTGTACTCTCATGTTCCGATTAACCCAGCTTCCCCAAATGTCTTTCTTTTTGGTGTCTGTATACGCCGGGATCCGGAGTCATGGATGATCCTGCGCTCCTCTGTCCTGGATCGCAAGCCCTGGATCTTGAGTCGTGGCTGTGGTCCTGGATCATAGGTCCTGGATGGATATCCTCGTGGATTCATCTTCCTATTATACACACATGCATTTCCAAACATTTGGACTACCTATGTTGCAAATGTATTATCTTTTCAATTTACACACGGCATCTATTGCACGTCTGTCCGTCCTGGGAGAGGGATCCCTCCTCTGTTGCTCTCCCTGAGGTTTCTCCCATGCTCCCTTTAAACTGTGGGTTTTCTCTGGAAGTTTTTCCTTGTACGATGTGAGGGTCTAAGGACTGAGGGTGTCGTATTGTCATACTGATATTTTGTACAAACTGTAAAGTCCACTGAGACAAATGTAACATTTGTGATATTGGGCTATATAAATAAACATTGATTGATTGATTGAATTACAAATATTTGGTCGTAAAGCACTTTTAATATACAGGATGCAGCTCAAAGTACTTTAACAATATGGCAAGAAATGAAATTCAGGTCCAAGCTTTTAAGCACACATGCAGCATAAATGATGAACAAGATTTCAAGGAATACAAGGAGGAAAAAATAATAAAGAGAATTGAAAAGGAATATATGAAATAATAATAATAATCACACATTTCACAAAGTGCAACCCCCATGAGACACAATTATTAAATATATTTGTTTACACTATACAATTAAATAATAAGAACAAATATTTTCAAAAAGATAAAAAGACATCAATTAAAGTTGCTGTTTTTAGCTGTTGTTTAAAAATATGTATTGTATAGAGCAAAATTGTAATACTTGCTGACTGGTGTATCGTGACTACTCTTGATGTTATTACCTAAATGAGCCACGAGAGGACATATCACACACTTGCTGATTATTGTTGCATATTAAAGGCCTGCCTCCATAATGATATGTGCTACTGAGGCTAATTGGTCCCAGGGGTGCTGCCCTGCTCCATCTTAATTAAATTAAATCATGGAATTATTTAAGTTTCAGGAATTTAAAAATAATATAACTTCACTGAAATATTCTAACAATAATGTATCACAGTGATGACAGCTGAACTCACCCCTCACACCCCGAGGAGACGGGCAGCCTCGAAGTGTTTCCATCACTGGAGCTGGTGCGTTTATGGACAGGAAACATCCCGCCAACAACCACCTTCTTCTTATCCACATCCTTGTAGCCGCTCAGGTTGAACTTGGCCTTCAGCTTGCATGTAGATTCTGAAGCAACAGATCTGTAAAAGCATAAAAAGGCACATAATCCGAGCAAAAGGCGACCGGTTTCCATGCTATATGTGCAGAAAAAAAGAGAGTGTGTGGCGGACAGGAAGAAGACAGCTAAGTGTGACAGGTGTGTTATCTTCTCTCCAGGGGCAGAGATGCACCAGGTAACATGGGAACACAAATAGGGAGGAGGATTCTGGGAGAGGGCTCTTAATGTGTGTTAACACCAGGGTTGAGAGTGCTACTGTAAATATGTTTTCCCTTACAATTACTATCTACCTGTAAAACATATTTTAATCAGTAACCTAATCTGAATATCACATTTTAAATGTAACCTGACCTCAATATCAAATGCAGATCAAATCAATAAAATAATAATAAATATCAATAAGATGTTTTTACTGACCTGTATTATCTTAGAAAAAAAGAAACCGATATATTTAGGGTCAAAAATGTTTAATTTATAGGAAAAGCTGCCTTTCATTCAGCATATTCAGGCAGTAGGCTATACACAATGAAACACATGAGCACATACTACAGTTTAAAGAAGCAGAAATAAGTATTATCACAGCTGACAGAGAAGAAATACAATCTGATCCTTTTACGACAAACCCTCTCTCAATGAAAACATCCTCCCCTCTGTCATGAACCTTGGAGTGACCTTCACTAGCACATTTAAATTCGTCAAGCAGGTCAGCACCGTAGTCAAATCCTGCTTTTTTTAAATAAGACTATTGGCCAAGACCAAGTCGTATTGATCTTTTAAAGTCCTAGAAAGGGTTATTAATGCCTTTGTAACCTCGAGACTGGATTACTGTAACGCTCTATACGTGGGTATGGACCAGGCCTCAATTAAACGCCTGCAGCTTGTCCAAAACGCAGCTGCACGTCTTCTGACTGGCCAAAAAAAGCGTGACCACATCACCCCAATTCTGGCCTCCAATTCTATTCCGAATTGATTTTAAAATCATTTTATTTGTTTTTAAAGCACTAAATGGGCTGGCTCCGGCCTATATAGCCAAACTCCTCCATCGCTACACCCAGCCAGAGCTGATAGTGCCCAAGACCAGGCTCAAAACCAGAGGTCACCTTCGCAGCAGCTGGCCCCAGGCTCTGGAACACTCTGCCCCTCCATGTGAGGTCGGCCCAGACCCTAGGGGTTTTTAAATCTACACTTAAGACACACTTCTTCTCCCTGGCCTTCTAGTCAGAGCGGAGCATGACTCCTGACTATTCCCTGTGTTGTTTATATATCTGTTGTAATTTATTGTCTTTTATTGTGATTGTAGTAATGTGTTTTTATTACATGTACAGCACTTTGGCCTGACCAAAAATCGCTTTTAAATGTGCTTTATAAATAAAACTTGATTTGATTTGAACCTAATATGCTCTTTTTAGTTTTTTAATAACATTGTAATCCTGCTAGAAATCCACAATTTTTAGAAATGTAACAGTAATCTGATAATCAGCCTGTAAGGGAATACAGCTACTTTTTTTGTATCCTAATTACATTATCCAGTTACATCCCCAAGCCTGATCGGTACAATCTCATTAATAGAGTGTAGTTACTTTGTTTTGTCTCCATCTAAGAGCACAAACTGGACCCTGGACCACCAACAAATGTAATCAAATGTCTCGTATTCAGATGTATTTATTTCCTCCTCTACATATAAACCAGTGCATCAGTCTGCACACCAGTCAGCTGCTGAGGATAATCTGCCACAGGCCGTCGGTTAATTGGCAGCTGCATGTGGTAACTGTTCCAAAATACTGCCCTGTCCCCTGAGTGTGTGTCTGCGTGTGTTGATGGCTGACTAAACTTGTCTGATCTTGTTTATAAGTCAGAGGGGAGGAACACACACCTGAACCCCCCCGCACACACAGGGACATCTGCAGGGTTACCGACTGCACACAAATAGGATACAGTCCAAAACGTCTTTTAACAATCTGTCTGTTTACAGTAGTGTAAATGTCACTGGTATTAAAGGAATGGGACTAAAGGGAGGCTGCTGATGGTGAATGCGTGACTGTTTGACTGCAGCTTGTGATCCGTCTCAGGCACATGAGACGTCTGACTAGCACTGATGACTTCTGCGAGAAATCAATTAGGTCGAGACATTTTCTAAATGTACTCTTTCTGCCCTTGCAGACATCTGTAAAGAGGAGCATGGTTAAATAGAAAAATGTGCATAAACAACCATTGTAAGTTTTGAATACATCTTAATTTAAGGAGGTCCCATTATGCTTTTCCTGTAGTGTGTTATATAAGTTTTGGTGTGTAAATGGTCTGCAAAGGCTAAAATCCCTGTGTTCCCTCCAGAGAGTTTCTCTCCCACCCCCCCTCCCTCCTATGTAACACTCTACTATTAGCTAGGCTACCAACACATTGCACATGATAGGCTAAGGGGCGGGACATCTCCTTAGTGGACAACTTAGCCGGTCAGCAAACCAATCAGAGCAGACTGGGCTCTGGTTTCAGACAGAGGGTGAAAAGAGGAGCTGCAGCACAGGCTGTATGAGAAAAATAAAGAGCTTTTTGAACATTAAAGCATGGAAACGTGTCACAGTGGAGGAACTAAATATGAACCTGAAAATAAGCAGAATAAGGGCCCTTTAATAAAAGCCGCATCTACTTTTACATGTACTTAGAATCAGATCCATGACTTAAAAAAATAACAAATAACAAAGTAAATCAAATAGTGTGAACAACACACGGCATCTATTGCACGTCTGTCCGTCCTGGGAGAGGGATCCCTCCTCTGTTGCTCTCCCTGAGGTTTCTCCCATTTTTCCCTTTAAACTGTGGGTTTTCTCTGGAAGGGTTTCCTTGTACGATGTGAGGGTCTAAGGACAGAGGGTCTAAGGACAGAGGGTCTAAGGACAGAGGGTGTCGTATTGTCATACTGATATTCTGTACAAACTGTGAAGTCCACTGAGACAAATGTAACATTTGTGATATTGGGGTATATAAATAAACATTGATTGATTGATTGATTGATACTGTGAAAAGCCCAATAATGTAAAAGAACCATGGCACAAAAAACACTCTTGAAAATCATCAGGCATAATTATTTCAAATCTGAAAGTAGACGACCAGAGACAAGTTTGTAGGTGAGAAGTTTCAACATGGAGATCTTTATTAAAGCTCAGGTTTTCCATTGTACAAATGTCATCATAGTTGAAACAGCATGCAGTGGCTTGGTTTGAGGCACGTTACTAAGGAGCGATCAAACGGAACAAAAAACGAAAGACACTGAATTGCATAACTTAATCTTAACGATATTGCAATGAAATTCATATGATGTGTCCAATAGTAACAAGCTTTCCATGGAGACATATGTAACAGAAAAAATATATAAAAGGCCGAACAGTGACAACTTAGGAAAAGCATTAATGTTGCAGGAGGGGGGTTTTGCCACTAAAGGTTAACAGAGGATGAGGCACCAAGACGTAATCTGGAGGCATGAGAACCACCGAGTGAAATGCCTCTACAGGGGTACAATACACTTTTAAAATCTCAGTTCAACCCAAGCACTGTATTCACTGAGCTCTAAACGACCAGACTAGAGGTGATGACGTGCTTCAGAACAGAAAAATAAATGCCTTTTTGAGTGAACGTGCATTAGAGATGGCAACAGACACACACTCAACCTGACCTTTGACACTACACACTTAATAAGGATGTATATTGAACTGAAGAAAAAAAACATGAGCAAAAGAGAAGCCAAATAATGATGAAATGACAACAGCAATTTACACGATGTGGTTATAAACTCTACTATACTTTTGTTATTAATTAGTCCTCCTGCCATGTGTTATTCTTCATAAAAAGCATAGGCCTACATATTGTAGCATGAGGAGAAACGGTGTTTTATCCTCCTGTTCTGGACACATTAAGAGTCCAGGTTGGAAAGAAATAAACTGAAACAATAACGGGTACATATAAAAGTTCCCCATCACTAGAGTGGTGCAGCGTTGATTTATGTATGTAGTCCGACCCGGGAGTTAGCATCACAAACGGTTCCATCGACAAAACGCAACGGGATTTTTCCATTGGAATTTAGTGGAAAAAAAGCTTGGTGGAAAACGCTCATGACACTTACAAGTTTTGTTCAGCAGGATAAACTCCAATTAATACCACGTTGTGATTTTTTTAAGCATAAATGCAATCGGCAGAAGTAAAAAGACATCTATAGGCTATGCTAACTTCACGTCACCACCGCTAAGCTAAAGGTGGCTAATGTTCGTTGTGTGATGATGAACTTAAAACTATAGGTTACCTACGTAACCCCAGTTCTCAGAGTAACATGAAGTGAGATGTCTCACTATGGGATGCGCCTCAACGCGTATGCAAACGGAAGCATCAATCTCATTACGCCAATCCTGATTGGCTGGTGATCTTGACGTCTGGAATCCACCCACCCTTTAAGTAGCTTGCGCTACATCGCAGCGTCATTCAAACACCTCTTCTCGCTTCAGAGCACATCTCGAACTTAAAACAGCAGTTGCTAACAATTGTCTAAACAAACTGCTGTACGTCACGTAGCTACAGCAGTTTGTTTAGACAATTGTTAGTAGCTGCCGTTTTTAAGTTCACCATCAGTTAGGTATTTACTGACGTGTTTGATGTCGTTGAATAAAATCTCTTTCGCTTGTTTTAACCACAGAACTTATTTCAGGCTAAACACTGGAAGTGGTCAAATGCCAACTCGTATCCGCGTTTTAAGACTCATTCCTGCACCACTATATTGGCCTCCTGCCTCCTTATCATTCTGAAGCTAATCTGGGGTTGACCGTGCGTTAGAGCAACAAGTCAACAAATGTAGCTCGGATCGGATCCTCTCAAGGTTATACATCACACAGCATATTCTACCCTTAAAATTAATTGATTGGTCACAAAGGATGCCTGTTTAGATTTAAAAGAAGAAGAAATAGCTCAGTATACAGGCTGTAAATGGACAGGGTGGATAGTCTTCGGTGTAATAAAACAAAAACGACTAAAACTCCTGCTCTTTAAATTTCATGACACTTTTTCGTTTGCTTGTTTTTTTGTTATTTTTGAGCTCTTCCCGTAATGCAACCTGAGGTACAACATCTTTCTGAAGTCTCACAGCTTCTCACGTTTAAATGACTGGAACAGGAAGCAGCCGTTTACTTTTTTATAGTCACACAGAGGAAATACATAGATGCACATGGATCAAAAATGACAATATATTATCAATAACCAACATTAATCAGTCCCTATCACCGAAAAATATTAAGACCAGTGGGGAGTGGTGGCGCCTTTGCATGTGCGCCCGTCACAGTACGCTCTGCCTTCCGTGGGAATGTTGAAGAGAGGAGGAAGGAAGGGAGGGAGGAGGTGAGGGAAGGGAGGGAGGAAGGAGAGAAAAGGAGAGAAGTTCCCCAGCCCTCTCTGATATTTGTAAATGTGTTTGTGCATTGTGTGTTGAGAGTGTGTGTGTGTGTGTGTCCTGTCGGTCGTGTCGTGTTTTATTCCCACTCTGTGGTGCCGGGGGGTTTGGAGGTCAGATCGTACATCACTCTGGAGATGCCTGGGATCTTCTTGATCTCGTTCACCATCTTCAGCACAACCTGGGAAAGCAGATCGGACAAATACATTTTAAAATGTTGAAGAAATATTTAGATTCAAACATTATTGGTCCCTCAGAGTCAAAGAGACACCGCTTTGCTTCTCGATAAGATCATTTTCTAGTGTTTTGTGTCCTGGTGTCTCTTTTTGATCTTTTCGTAGACATTTTGCCTCTCTCACATCTTTATCTAGAGTAATGTTTCCTTGTGGCCACATTCTGTATCTGTTTTGGATCACTTTGTACAAAGAGATGTAGTATGTTTACAAAAGGATGCAATCTTGCCTCCTGGTGGTCATACTCTGTCTCTTTTTGGTAATTTTGCATCTCTTAAAATGCTGCGTTTTGTGTCCTGATGGTCATTCTGTTTCTCCGTTTGATCATTTTGAGTCTTTTTCAGGTCATATTGCATCTATTCATGGAGATGTTTCATCTCAAATAACATGTCTGTTGAGTTTTGCGTCATTAGCCGCTTTCACACCGCAGTACTTTTCCCACTTTAGTTCCGAAATGTCGCGTTCACACCAAAAAGAGCCGGAACTAAAAATTAGTTCATGAGAACATTTTTACCTCCTTTTCCGTCCCCGCTAGAGAGCAGGGACTTTCGTGGGAGGAAAAGGTTCCTATGTCTGATTGGCTGAGCGGATTGCAAACCACGCCCCGTAAAACTCCCAAAAAGTTTTGTGAAGCCGCCATTTTATTATCCTCGCATTAGTGTTAATTTCGTCAGCTATTTTTTTATTCAGTTTTAGTCCTGTGTTAAATGTCCTTTTTAGTTTTAGTCATATTTAGTCACCTTCATCCTGCTTTTATTTAGTCAAGTTTTAGTCGACTAAAAGTCTGAGCATTTTAGTCATATTTTAGTCAAAGAAAACTAATTATTTTAGTCTACTTTTTGTCAATGAAAACTGTTGAGTCTTTTTTAGTCATCAGATGATATAGAACATTTCAGTCAAACTAGTCGAGCCAAAACCAATAATTTGTCATTTCAGTATATATATATATAAATAAGATTATATCTTGTCCTTATTTGATGAAAAACACAGGTTGAATGATTAAGAAGCTTTGCAGAGAGTATCTGGTTTGTGGTGTTTTCACCAGCTGTGTTATGGCCACATTGCTTCCCTTCTGATGAAACAATGCATTCGCTTTTTTTTCTCCGCCTCATTGTAGCGAAAATGGGCCCAAATATCACATCGTTTCTTTCTCCCAAGCAGTGGTGGCTTTAGACTTTTTCGTTGTCAGTCATTTTGACAGACAGGATTGTAACATTTCTGTCATAATCCATTATTACCCGTCGAGTGCACAATTTATCAATCACTCGCGCTGACGGGAGGGGGGGTAATTCGGTTAACGCGAGTGCGACCACTGCTCCCAAGCCCTCCCAAGTTAAAGAAGGTTGGTTAGACCATGAGTTAGACCCGAGTCTTCCTGACAGTTCACAGTGTGCCGCTGCCCGGTGTAATTCAAATGTACCGCCGCGCGCAGCACAGACACACAGCTGCTGCCCAGCCGCAGCACCGGAAATGGAACTGCTGGGAGAAAAACATTAGCATTATTAGCATTAGCATGCACCCAGCGCCAAAACGCAGAGAGACTAACTTATGGCAGCACAAAAGAAAACATGGGAGCGGTGGAGATGAGGAGGTGTCGGCGTTCTGGCGATTTACTCGGAAGGCTTCAGTAGAAGCTGCTGGGAGTCCCAGTGAGTCCCCAACTCCGGGGCCTCCGGGCGGCAGTATACGCCGTGAAGTGGTTTGCGGCCAGCCAGTAAACCCAAAGCAGAAGAAGAAGAAGAAGTGACGTCAGCGGCTTCATTTGCCTAATCCTCCCTCAGGGACTTATTCCGGTGTCAACGCGATCTTTCATGAGAACTAAAGAGTTCTCATGAACCTTTGTGGGAAAAGTACTGCGGTGTGAAAGCGCCTATTGAGGTTGTTTGTTTTGATAGACATTTTGCTTCTTAAAATCGCTTTGCTACAATTTATGACTTTTTAACGATAAATATTAACAGTAACTTTAAACAGAGGCTCTGCAGCTCAACAGGTGAATAGGACCCTGGGTCTGTGCCCATTAGGCCAGATCAGAAATCTGTCCACGATGATAGTTTAAATAATGGCTCCAAATCTAGCCAAACACCCAGTGGAGGGGTTAAACCCTGGCTTACCTCTTCTGGGATGTGGTTTCCGGGCAGGGCGGGGATGCCGGTCATGAAGTCGCTGGTGATGAAGGTGCGGATCACCACAGAGCGCCGGCAGGACGGCTGCTTCTGCTGTGCGTCACGGTCAAAGTGCAGGGGGGTCAAAATGATCGGCATCTGGCTGATCTTACCGGAGTAGCCTTGAAAAGAAGACAAACAGAGAGGAGAGTTTTAATGCTGCCATTAGAACACACTACAGCAGGGATCACCAACTACATTTGTCCAAGGGCCAACATTATTCCTAGAGACACTTTCGGGGGCCAGCTATTTTTATATATAGCCCTGCTAGTGGAGCACGCTCATGTACTGTCAAGTCGCCGGAGCCTCGTAGCTGGGCTACTGCGCATAAAGCAGACTCGAAGGATCACGCTAACGAAGGATCACTTCTTCGTCAGGGCAGGGAAGGCTACTGTCCCGCAGGTGCTGCCTCTCTGTTGGACTATGTTGAGGGGGGGGGGTGTGCTGGTGGCACACGCTCATGTACTGCCAAGTCGCCGTAGCGGGGCTACTGCGGAGCGCATAAAGCAGACTCTTCACGCTAATGAAGGATTACTTCTTCTTCAGGGCAGGGAAGGCTACACAGTACGCAGGCTACTGTCCCGCAGCTGCTGCCTCTCTGTTGGACTCCGGTACTGCACATTACCCACAAGACGTTGTAAAAAATATATATGAGTGGGGGGCGAACGCACTAACCACTCCGCCAGCGCCACAGCGGGTGCCGGATGAGAATGTCTGACGTGCCAGATTTGGCCCGCCAGTTGATGGTCACTGCACTACAGGAAAGGGAGAACCCCAAAAAGCATAATAATCTGTGTGATGGATTGTAGGATCCACAAAGAAATGAAAGCAAAATGTCTTACGTTATGCTATACGGACCAATACCTAATGTGGACACAATGATCCAGAAGATCTTTAAATCCATGTTATCATCATAAATTGGCATAGTCAGGAAAATACCAATGTATCCCAAAAAAACTTTTTGACAGGAGAACAGATAACTGGTCTGCTTCTAGGGAAACGTTAAATTCCCCATGAGGATGCAAGTATGCAGACTTGTACACCACTCTGGATGTGAACTTAATAAAACCATGCTTGGTAAAAGGAGTGAAATGTTTTAGAGACATTGTATTGATAGATATTCCTGTGGTTGGATCCTTTTTACTCAAGAAGCTCAGACATATTTATCAAATATATATATATCCTTCTTAATAATCGGTAATGCTCCAAAAACATAGGGTCAATTTAAAAGTCTAAAGCCACTTGGACACACACTCACCAGACTCTCTGAGGATAGAGTGAGCTACAAAGTCCGCCTGTCTGAGCGTGCTCAGAACGCCTGTGGTCAGGAAGGTGGGGGTGATGTCTGTGGGAGGCTCCTTCACGTGAGACCCAAACACATAAACAACTCTGTGAAAAGAGAGAGACGAAAGGGAACGGGTGAGTGTGACTGCTGTTAACAGAACAGTGTGTAATGAGGATGAGGAGGGACGAAGGGTAAACCAGAGGAGTGTGTATTACCTGTTGATGCTATGGCACATGCGAGGGATGAGTCTGGACAGGAACAGGAGAGACTCCCAGTGAGGAGACTCTTTACTCGTGATACCGCACACGTAACTGTAGGACCGGCAGTCACCCTGGGACAGCACAGTTACTTTGATTAGTTCAAGTAAAAACTAAGGGTTGTTATAAAATAAAACAAGAGAACATCAATCTTCAACAAATGTTAGATGAGCATAAGAAAGAAAGAGAAAGAGAGAGCGCATCCTGATTTTAACTACCTGTGAGCTTCATGATTGATACAAAAAAATACTTGTATTAGTTTTTAAAGCTTTAAATGGTCCTGGGCCTAGCTTTTGATTAAATCAGTGTTTAACTTATGAACCGTCAGGTCCTCTGGTGCTGGCATTTATTATAATGGATCATATATTACTACTTTAACTAAAAAAGGTCAAACAAAGACCAACAGTGAGGTGTCTTTTAATTAAAATGACTTATTTTATCTTTTTTTTTTTTTTAAACTCGTGTTTTTTTTGTCTGCTAAATAAAAAGTGATGCTTCTATGAATAGAGGAAATCTGTCTGTTTTCACTCCCATAAAATCCCTCAGGCAGAGAAGGCTGCCTGTGTTTGTCCTCCGCCTCCCGTCTGCCCCACAACTTCAGATTCAGGGTAAATGTAAAACAGGAAGTGGCAGCGCACACCCCCACAGAAACACACAGTCACTGGCTGGCTGAAAATAGTCATGATGATTTTCTTCACTAAAAAGGTCAGTAAAAACCACAGGAAAGTGTTGTTGCTATTTTTAGATACAAAGCACTTTATATGTGTCAGACTAACATGAGTCAACATCAGAGGAGGAAACTAAAACGTGCCACAATAGTTTGAGCATATTCAGGCTTTGGGAGTAACAGATTATATGTAATGGGTAATAAGGATACAGAAAAGGTAACTGTATTCGGCAGTGGCTCAGTCAGTAGGGGCTTGGACTGTGAGCCGTAGGGTCGCCGGTTCAAGTCCCCGACCAGACCTAAATATGGAGTGTGGACTGCTACTTGGAGAGGTCCCAGTTCACCTCCTGCCCTGCCGTGGTGCCCTTGAGCAAGGAACCGGACACCCCCCCCCCACTCCCATTGCTCCGTGGGCGCTGTACAATAGCTGCCCACTGCTCCTAGTACTAGACTCCTGGTACTAGGATGGGTTTAAAGCAGAGAACACATGTCACTGTGTGCTGTGTGACTCATCCCTCCCCAATTCTATTCTACAACTACATTAAAAAAAAGACCTTACTGTTACATTTCAGTATTTGCTTACCAGCAGTGCTAGTAAAAAACAAACAAAATATCATATATCAGAATTTGTATTTCTTCTCTGTAAGCTGTTCTGGTGTGAATCTAAACGTATAAATATTAACTGTAACAGAATACATTTTTTAAAGTAACCCTCCCAACCCTGAACATATGCCTCCATGTTTAGTTAAAGAGAGAAAGAAACCGAGGTTGTGTGTGTGGGTGTGTCTCGTGGTTAACCGCTAAGTTATAGTTGGAACAAAACGAGACAAAGAGGGACATACCGTTTCCCCCAGCAGCACTGCTAAAGACATTTAAATCCTCAACAGCTCCTAAAGAAAATAACTTTGAAATCTTTCACTTCAGTCACGGCAGCAAGTCCTCTTTAAAATTGGACTAAAAGGTTAAAACATTCGGGGCACACATTATTGGAGGCATTATTCACATGTTGTGAGATAGAGGATTGACTGTTATGGCTACTTTTACTTCTATCCGAGTACTTCTTACACCCCTGTAAAAATGTAATGTAAAATGCGTGTTTTAAAAGTATTTCCTGGGCAGTGAAGAGAAAACAGAAAAATAAAAGTTTGACTGATGAGTTAATTGTGCGACTGGTTTACCTGGACGCCGACAGTTTTGATGGGCAGCAGGAAGGCATTGAGTGAATGAAGGCTGGTGATCTGCAAGAGCTTCTCCTCCTCCTCGTCTGATATGCACGACTTGACTCTCTGCAGCAAGGTGTGAGGCTGCAGGAGAGAGAGAGAGAGAGAGAGAGAGAGAGAGAGAGAGAGAGAGAGATTTAGAGCAGCCTGTTGAACCAGTGTAACTTCTGTTTAGGAGTTGTTGTTTTGTTTAGGAATCAGGCAAAAGAAAATATTTGAACTGTTCAGAAAAGTGCCGGTGAGGTCACTGTACAATTTAGAGGAGAAACTTGTGCCGTGTCTGTCAGACAGAAACGATCATAACAAATGTTTAAAAGCCTGTTTGTGGTAGCAATCAGCCAAGTGGACATTAACTGGAACTGCTGGTGAGTGTAGTACTTTTATCATCATGAAGCTCATTCAGAAAAACGTGAGAGCAAGAATTTCCCAATTTGTTGTAAAAAGTGAAAAAAAATGTCCACAAATATATAGTAGCACAAACAGATGATATAAATCAAAGGGGGCTAAGCCACACAACAGCAGTGCTATATTATTTATATTTAGCTGGGAGGATGCAATCTCTAGCGTGTTTCTACCAGGGAAGGCGCTATGTGGACACAGGCCCCAAAGCATCAGTATACTTTGTAGGGTTTGGTGCAATGTGGCCAACCACCCAGCAGAGGTTGCAAATTAATTACTTTATAAATAACCAGCAAGGACACAAATGTCTCCTCAGTTGGAATATTGGCAGAGCTTCCTATGTACTGTTAAGTTGGTTAAAGGTCACCTATCATGCTATTTCTAGGCAATAGCACAGGTCTCTCAGATATATACAAATATATAAAAAACATGTCTATGAAGTGTTTTGCTCAAAATACCAAACAGATCACCCATTCTAGCCATGCCTCATATCCCTCTATTTCACTTCCTGTTTCAAAAGTGCTGATTTTGGGAATAAAGCTTAATAAAAAATAATAATAATTGATACAAAATAAAAAAGGAGGGGGCTGAGCTCATGCGGGAGATTCTACCGGCAGATACTGCGGTGATGAAACGCCATATCATGGATTATCAAGGATCTGAAACAGTATGGAGCTCAAAGGCTTTCTCTCTTGCCGGTTACACCACAAGGTGAGTTCCTTTTTACTTCCTGCTTCTTCACACACATGCTCTCCAGTACAGGTTAGCTCTGAGTGTTAGCGATGCTAATGTAAACACGACCATATTACGTCCAAAACAGTCGGGCATTGTTTCTGAAAGGGCCATGGGTGTGAAGCCAGCCTACATTTCAGATATTACGTCATATCGGACGCAAATCTGGATCAGCTCCGTTGTGGCCCCGTTTTTAAAGATTTGGGTACGGAGGAAAAGAGAGAGGGTTTTATTTTCTGACGCTGCGTGAGTTCCCCGACACACATCTTTATGTATAAAAGTGCATTTTGCATGATAGGTCCCCTTTAAGTTAGAATTTGAAGTTAAAGCATGGAAACATGTCACAGCAGAGGCATAAAATACAAATATGAAACTGAAAATAAGCAGATTACGTCCTCTTAAAAAGTCTGTGTGTTGGTTTGTCATTCAACATAGCAGAAAAGAAACGCAGAAATAATATCTTGTTTAAATTTACGGTGACAAGATGTTTTTTCCCTAAGCACAGAATTTCAGATGACTGTTCATTAGATTCGGTACTGCTCTCACCTTTTTGATGCTTGCAGAGAAGTCTGTGATGATTTTGAGGATGTTGTTTGTTTCGGCAAAGTCCTTACAGATGAAGGGCTCCTCGGCACAAATCACTCGGATGGACAAACCTGGACCTACGAGGCAAAGTTCACTTTTTAGCAAATACAGTCAGTTTTGAGTCTGTCTGATTGAATAAGGGGAAGGAAGATGCATATAAAAAAGGAGACGGTGATAGAAATATCATCACTAACACTTTGTTTACAATGTGAATCATCACTTTCGTTTTGCGAGCGTTTGTTACTTGCCAGGGAAAGGGTGTCGGCAGACGATCTCCTCCGGCAGACCCAGCTCTCGGCCCAGCGCTCTGACCTCGTCTTTGTGGAAGTCTTTCAGCGGTTCGATCACTTTTCCCTGGAGGATCACAAAGGAGAGGAATCAGCATTTAAACCGTGTGGGAGTTTGCTTAGGTGTTGCATAGTGATTCGTTTATAAGAAAAGAGCTGAGCAAAACACAAAATATATGAACTGTAAACAGCTGAAAATAAAAGAAGGCGAATGTTATTTGCAGAAGCTTCACTATTGAAAAACGAAAGCCTCTATAAAAACGGATAAAGGATGATGTATATTTTCAATTAAGGAGTATATGATGTTTGCTGTGCTCCCAACATGTTTTACTTAAACATGTGGTGTGTGCCTGATAGCTCTGCTTTCATAATCTCTTCTCTAAACTGTAACTGTTATTTTTGAACAATTGTTATCTTATTTGTATCCTTGAATGATCATTTATGTCACCGTTGTATCACATATTCCTTCAAAGCATTGTAAGAGAGCAGTTTGATCATCTGTATAACTGCTGTATCATACTGTGCTACAAAAACGTGTTCTTATCAGAGACGACTCAAATTGTCAGTTCAAAATGTAATCTTTTAAAATTCAAAGGACGTCAGTGTTAGCAAAACAGCATATTGTTTTGATAAGAGGTATTGTGTTGTTTGTTGTGCAATATGTTTTCCACTGTAAGAAATCAAGTAGTAGATTAAAGATATGAGCATATCAGTAGATAATATACAACATACACATCATATTGATATTTATTTCTCTTGTATTTGTGGTAATCCAAAAGTAATCAGGTGACATTACTTTTTAATACTCAGACCCTGTGTGTGTGTGTGTGTGTGTGTGTGTGTGTGTGTGTGTGTGTGTGTGTGTGTGTGTGTGTGTGTGTGTGTGTGTGTGTGTGTGTGTGTGTGTGTGTGTGTGTGTGTGTGTGTGTGTGTGTGTGTGTGTGTGCAGTACCTCATCTCGGAGTTTGCGGATGAGCTCGGTGTCGTTGTGGTGCGTTTTGATGACCTGCGCCTTCCCGCTGGCGAGATGAGAAGCGCTCTCGATGAGATCCGGCCGCAGGGTACCCTGGGCCAGGAAGACCTCCTCTGGCTTCAGATTCATCTCTCCGATCACTTCATTGGCAACCTGGGGCAACACGAAGCAAAGAGTCAGACACTACAGGGACCTGGTAAACTAAAAACATTTAAGCAGCCATATTGGCAAGAGCCAGCAGGTTCATAAATCATAAAATATGATAATAGCATCTTTAATACTTTTGTAGAGGGTCGATTGAAACGAGTACTCACTTTGACAAACGTATCTCCGATAATCTTTCTTTTCTCTTCTGGGTTGGTAGTCATATTCAGAGTCTTGCTGATACGTTTTCGTGGCGTCCGGTCCTCCTCAGAGATGGGGAGGGTTGTCGTTCCGTTGTAGAAGGTGTGAGCAGCGTTTACCACTAAATAAAGAAACATTTTAGAAGACAGAAGACACATTTGGGTTATGAGCAACAATAATAAATATTATACAAAACTTCAGTATACTGTGATATTCAAAGTTGATCATATAATCCATCAAATGTGAAGGAATGTGTCACATTTAAAAACGTATGGCTTATTGTGAGTCGATTTGGATAAAAGCATCTGCTAAATGTAATACTGAATATCAACTGCTATCACATGGAAGTACACACAGAGAAATGTACTCCGCTGACTTGAAGGTCTTATTGTAGCATCCCGGCATCATTTAGAACTTTGTCCATGTGAATCTGTACCTTTGAGTTTGATGCCCAGCTTGGTGAGGGCCTCCTCCACGCTCTGACTCTCCCTCTTCCTCATGAAGCCATTGTCGATGTGAACTGCGATCACCTGCTCCTGGTCCAGAGCTTTGTTCAGGAGAGCTGTGCAAACTGTCGAGTCGACCCCACCGCTCAGCAGCACCTGAATAAATCATCAGAAACAGTCAAGAACTATTCAGCAAGCTACATTTGTGACCTGTCTGGATAATCATTGAAAGTATAAAATGCTCTGTTCCACAACATAGCACAATAACTACAAAGAGAAGCATGTATCCCTCAGACTGTAGTTCAACAAGAAACTGATTTTTTTGTAATATAAATCTTGCTTTGAGTGTTTTTCTTACACTAATTCATCCTCATCATATCCCCCTGAGATGCAGCCTAGTTTGAAGCCACTTCAGGGAGTCCACTTCCTCTTTCCAGATAAAAAAGGGTTTAATTTGTGAGTTTAATTGGTTCTACTTTACTTCCCACCACTGCTGCTGCTGTCACCACTTCACATGCAGCAACCCAGCTTGAGACTTTTAGGTTAATATTCTATACAGGATTAGAAAATGTGTTCTTCTGATCCGTCATCTCTCTGGTTTGGATAACCAACACACAAATCAGGAAACATTACAATTTTTTACTCACCAGCACTTTAGATTTGCCCACTTTCTCTTTGATGTCGTTGATGCAAACTTCTTGGCGGTTTTGTACGGTAAAGTTACTCGTGCATCCTGCGATCTCAAACAGGAAGTTACGGAGCATTTCGATGCCTCTCTCCGTCAAGTCGACCTCAGGGTGAAACTGTGTCCCGTACAGCTTCTTCTGTTCGTTAGCAATCCCTGGTGGGGAACACAGATGTGCCAAGGAACTGTTAACCTGGGTAATTATCATCTTTAAATGCTACTTTTAAAGCCATACAAAACAAAACTAGTAAAACATCAAAACACAATAGGGCTTATTTATGTAACCTATTGAACCCACGACTTGTAATGGAGTTATTAGCACTTTTAATTAAGTCAAATAATAATACCACTGCATGTGCTACTTACCAGCAATGATGTTCCCGGATTGGGCCACCACCTTAAAGCCTTCAGCCACTTTATCCACACTGTCTCCGTGAGTCAGAAGGACCAGTTCCTCCTTCTGAAGGCCCCTGATCAAATAAACACACACTGATGTCAGAGGTACAATAACAACACGTATACAGGGTTGGGAGATGTACTTTAATAATGTAATCCGTTACAATTACTAGTAACCTGCAAAGAAAATATTCTAAGCAACCTAATCCGAGTATCACAATATATAAGTAATGTAACCTGATTACTTTCCGATACTTTTGAATCACCTCAATATCAAATGCAAATAAATACAAGAGAAAATAAATAAAAGCAGGTGTCCACCTATTGCATTTAAAAAAAAGATATTCAAAATAATAAAGAATGAAACACGCCACACAAAAAAATCTAAAAGCATAATAGGGCCTCTTTAAGAAAATAAATGGTACTGTAAATCGGCCTGCTGGTCTAGACGGGATGTATTGAATGTTATTTTTTAGGGTTTAATGACACTAGCCGTCTTTAATATAGTACATTCATGTCAGATGGACTTCATTAGCCTTCCCTCGGCCGCTACGTGCACTGGCAAACATTTGATGAAGGGGCCATGGTAGCCAGTAAAATAAAAACACTGATCCATCACGTTACGTAGTTCCACTGTGTAGTGATACTGTCTGCCACGTAATAACGTCTCTCTACATCAGACCATTTTGTTCCTGTATCAAATATCTTCAGCACTAATAACCTCTTAGTATATTGTCCACTGGCTTTTAATTTTCTCTTATATATGATATTATAAAGTTTAAAATGTAGATGGGTTAGGACTTGCAGATCCATGAATCCACATCAAAATACAGTTTGTTTCGTTTGATATTTATAATATAATAACACATAAAAGAAAACACCATTTACCTGAAGAGAGAACAAGTGTTGTCCAGTCCAATACTGAAGACTCCATCTTCCCTTAAATTCTTTTTGTGCACGGTGCCGCCAAAAACTTTATTCATCATCTGTAACAAACACACACCCACAACAGAGTTAACACATGGACATAAAATAACATGTTAGTGCGACTGCAAACATGTTAGAAATGCCGGGTGTATAGAGAAATGAGATGGAGAATGGATGGCTGCTGGTTTTCATTTACAGGCCAGCTAGGAAAGCTTAGTGAGCGATGTTTTCAGTTAAAGTGCCCTTGAAGAAGGCTGTAAAGTCACAGCTGTACCCAGGAGATATAACAGCAGCCTGGATATGAGTGGTTGTAAAGTGTAGCTACTCATTGTGAAATGTATGCAATGAAAACGCTTCCTCGAACAAAGGAATTGTGGTATAAAGATGGTCTACATAATGACTTTTAAAGCCTCGCATCACATGATTTAAATGTGGGTTAAATATCACCCCAACATTAAGCGGAGTAGAAGTATAAAGTAGCATCAAATTAAAATACTCAAAATGTACATAAATACCTGCATCCCATAGCAAATCCCAAGCACGGGCTTCCCGATAGTGAATATGGCCGGGTCAAACCAGGGGGCGTCTTCTGCATACACAGAGGCTGGACCTCCTGAGATGATGATGGCTCTAGGAAGGAGAAGAAAGAGAACAATCATGCAAAGGTAACCATCTTTATTTTGTTTTTACAGGTAACTAGTAGTCGTACATACATTTTTTAAAGTAACCTTCCCAACCCTGCTCACCTGTAGCCCTGTTCTCTGATGGCGAAGGCCGGGGTCTCCAGAGGGAGGATCTCAGAGCGTACAAACATCTCTCGCACCCGTCTGTCGATCACCTTGCCGTACTGGGCCCCGGCATCCAGGATGGCCACCGCCCCCTCACATGATCCATTCTGCTCTGCGCTGCTGATATCCAGCTGTGGTCACACACACATTCAGAAAAAACACACATTGTGTTGTTTTAAGTGCTGAGTGGGCAGAAAAGTGTACACCCATGTCTCTTTTGCACACTAGTGCTTACTTTTTATCGAGTAACACAAAGAAAATGTTGTTTTAATGTTTTCTTTAGAGGTGATGTAAGGCAACCCACTACTCTCTGGCTCCACTTTTGACCTCAAGCGTGGAAAATGTGACCTAATAAAGGCCTAACACAATTAAGGACATGTGAGCTTCAATGCAGACACTGAGTCACTCTCGTCAAACGTGGTGTAACCATTCAGCTCATCAGTGGAATCACATGAATCCAACAAGTTAGTCACAGGCTCTAATGAGCAGGGCACACTTTTTTAGCTGTGACACAAAGATGTAGGTCTGGATGTTTATTAAATAAAAGTGCGCTGATCAGTTTGTGTGCAAGAAGAGAAACATTTTCTATTGTATTAATTGCAAGGAAAGATTATCCGTATTGCAGCAAACTTAAAAAACAGATGATTTAAAAGATTATTTTTGTATGATTTGTTTACCCCGTTAGTGTCTTTGAGAAATAAGCATTATAAAATGGTTTATGATTATTATTATAATTTTAGTCCATGGGGAGATGTTGTAAAGTCATCCTAAAAAACGAATTAAATGTAAGTTTGAATGAACAAGTTGCAAAAATATGCAACAGAGACATACAATACTGGAAATGAGTGTGAAGAAGTACTCAGATCCTTTACTTAAGTGGAAGTAGAAATACACTTGTCTTAAAATACTCCATTACAAGTAAACGTCTTGTATGTGTTAGTTAAATAGAAGTACACAATATTTAGCAGTAAAATCAATATTCAAAGTACTTGTAATACAGAATGGTTGTTTTTACAATATTAACATGTAGAATATTATGATATCCAGTTTTTATGACTCACAAATACTTTTAAGAGCATATTTTAAATTGTATATGTTTGTAATAATGCGTGTAGGCTACTTGTCTTGTCCTTCTACATTTTTGTATAATCAATGTGTTAGTTAAGTAGAAGTACCATCAGCTAAATGAACTCAAAGTATCAAAAGTAAAAGTACTGACGATGCAGAAAGATTGTTTTTACAGTGTTACATTATTGTAAAATAATATAATATCCAGTTTAGAAAGTAACTGAGTAAATGTGGGGCTCTGGTTGTCACACCGGTAACGTTAATAGCTTAGTGACGACGTTGGTTAGCAACCCTGTCAGTTAACGTTAGCTTACAGTGAGTGACAGCATCCGCTTCAAATAAATAACCACAATCTCAATGTCACTTTCCACAAATAAACGCAAACGCAGTAATAATACTTGTTGTTGGACAAAGAGTACCATCACAACAAATTCGCACTGCCCAGCTAAAGCTACATCTACCAACTGCCTGTGTAGCATGCTAGCTCGCTGGTATTATAAACAGTAGTTGTTAGCAGCATTAGCATGTTAGCAGCACGTCCGAGGCTAAGTTAGCGGGGCTATGCTAAAACCCACGCGGTGCTTGGAGGCTCTTACGGGGGGCTACAACATGAGAAGAAGTCAGTGATTACATGAATGTAAAACATATGTGTTTCTAACATAATTAAGACAACCTGACTGAAGCTATGAGCAACATGTTAATGTAACATTGCAACAGGCATACAGCAATGGACCTGGTGGTAATGCTCTCTAACTTTCCCCCCGAGGTACAAACACACACACAGGCCGGAATTAACACCAGCAACCCGGGGTCCTAACACCAAGTCACCCGGGCTGATGGGTTATATGTCCCTGCTCCACTGACCTTGCTGTCTCCGTTGCACACAGCCATGGAGACGTGTTGTGGAAGGAGCTCTCCCTTCGCTGTGTCACGGAGAGAGAGAGAGAGAGGGAGCTTCTGGTTAGCTCCTGGCTCAGCAAACCGACTACTGTTTCCAAAGCAGACTTGGGTTGTTGTTGGGGTTGGGGTTGGGGTTGGAGATGGACTGTCACAGGCTCTCCTCCTCTCCGGCTGGAAATAACTTTCTCAGTGGGAACAGACTAAATAAATGTGTCTGTGTGTGTTATGGAGCGCAAAGTTAAAGCCACAAAAGGAAAGTGAGGGAGAGTGTGGCCCCAAGAGGGCTGGGCTTAGACACAGACTAGTGTGAATTTGATTGATCATGTTAAAAAATATGGGTAGTGGGTGCCGGTTATGTTTTATGACTAGAGGTAGAAAGTAACTAAGTACTTCTACTTCACTGCATCTCAGAGGTCAACATTGTACTTTTTACTCCCCTACATTTATTTAACACTCATATAGTTACTTTTTATATAAAAACAGACAATATGCTTACATTATTTGAGTGATACAAACAGGATAATATATTGTTATTTTTTAAATACTTTGAAAGAGCCATTCTGCATACTTTAAGTGTTGGTACTTGAAGTACATTTAGCTGCCAATACTTCTGTACTTTATGTTATTCTGAAGTGAGCCATTGTGCACAATGAGTACTTTTACTTTTTCAATCAATCAATCAACAACTTTATTAATCCCGCAAGGGGCATTTGGTTATGAGCAGCAGTTTATGTCATGTACACAGGCAAGAACATGTAAGAAGAAAACACACAGATACACCCGGGAGCACAGATGTGGATAATTCCAATTTACACTATAAATAGTTCATAGCATCACAATAATAAATACATAAATAATCAAGTTAACGTACACGTTGATGCTAATATTTTTGTACTTTTACTCAAGAAACATTTTTAATTCAGGGCGATTACTTGTAATGGCGTATTTTAAGACCCTATGAATTTGATATTTGTATAAGGGAGTCATCCTTTTTTATTTACAACATTACAAACAGGCCTAATAAACAAGTGGTATTCAAGGGATAGTTATCTCTTATAGTTCAAATATTTGTATTATCTCAGTTTATGTGTGTGTGTTCATATCACCCACCCATAGTAACTGCACAAGTCCTGTTGATATACAATCTGCACACACTCAGAGCCTCATACTTGTCAGGGACAACAAGTATGTGAGAGGATCACCCTGTACTTTAACACATCTTCTACAGCATTACTTACAGGAATGTTTTCTCTTTTTCCTTTTTCAAATGAATTACCACATACTTTACCTTCAGGCTCATTGTTTATGTGGCTTTGGTGTGCCGTCTAACCTAGGCTGATAGTAATGTAAATGCACTATCCCTTTTTTCTTTACATAAAGATTACTTGCTCAGAAGGAATGTCACATCAAAAATACAACGGACAGATGTCAAAGTCCACTCTGTGCACAGCAAGTTTGTATTTTTTAGTTGTCTTTAACAGTACCAGTATAAAAAAATTGAAAAAAAACCTATCTTAAAGAGGCCCCATTTTGCTCTTTGGGGGTTTCCCTCTCATGAAGTGTGTTATTGGTTTTTGTGCATGTTAATGGTCTGCAAAGGTTAAAATCCCTGTGTTCCCCCGAGCCTGAAACGCCTCCATTGGACTCTTTTGTCTGCTTTCGGAACATAATATCATCACTATGTAAGATCACTGGGTAAGAAGAAGAATATAGAAGATGGACCTTTATTAATGGAGTAGAAGAACAAAATATGAACCTGAAAATTAGCAGAATATGTCCTCTGTGTTTTTAGAAAGGTAAGGCAGTTTTTTTCTACCTTAATGGCAAACATAATCTGGGGAAATCTGTAATTAAATTGAATAGACCTTTTCAAAGCAGGCATTTAGACTAGTCACACGCAGATCTGACTAATTACATTATAATGGTGGCATACGTTTTGCATGATTTCTGGAAGAAAGCCATCATTGATGTTGTTAATTCTACTTGTGCATCATCTGCTGTAACAAATTAAAAGGTCTGCTGTGAATAAAGTCTACGGATCGCATATGTTTGGGAACAATTAAAGGCTCTCGCAGCATTTTTTCAGAATTTACTCCAACATTTTAAAAAGGAAAACAAGCACTATATAAATATTATTTGTATTACTGTTATCATTGTTTTAAATAGTATTACTTACAGTAAGTAAGGTTTGACACATCTTTACTTGTATATTGTAATAAAGCATTTTCCCAGTGTGGAAGTAATGCTTTCTTCTCCCACGGCCAGAGGTTGACAACCGCTGGGGTGAGATACTTATTCATGTTATTAACGCCATCTTTTGGGAAATTTAATAAAAAACACATGAAAACACAATTGTTACCATGACCATGAAAAAATACTAATTTTGGACAAGCTGTCAAACTATAAGCAATATTATTAATTAGTGAACACATTTGTTATATTACATATTAAACCATTACCATTAGCATGGCTAGAATAATCCATAAAGGAGAATTTATCTGCGGGCCTCTGTTGACCCTCTTTTTTTCCCCATGTATATTTTGACACGGATCATCTCTACAACACAGATACACAAGCAAACTGATAATACAGATACATATAATGAGTGCTGATATTGGGCTTATCCTCCTGAGACCCACCCATTCATTTTTGTCCTCTGTAGAGGACATTTGGTTTTGGTCCATAACTATAAGGTTATACATGCCACAGCATTAAGTCCAATTGTACTCCACAGAGGACATCCTGGGCTTTTCAGACATGTGACATATGTGGGGGTGTGGCTTTTAAAAAGATAATTTCCTTGTATTTCAAAATAGCGTCCATTAACACAAGCACTATTTATAGAAAGAGAAATGGTAATGTTGTAATGTTGTAATTACCAGTGTTATGAGGTCAATATTTTTATTAATTATAGTAAGGGAACATCTTAGGAGTTTAGTGAGTTTTAGAGCAGTGTAATCATTATTTGACCTAAACTAAATGTTTTTATGAATGTCCTCTGAGGAGGACATGGAGATTTGCTAACTTTTTATTTCCCCCCATTTTACACAACACAAATGGAGTCCACTACGGGCCAAAACTAACACGTAGGTTTCTGTAGGGTTCATGGTGGATGCAGTGGGAAAACACACATCAAGTGTCAGATGTATCTCTGCATTTAAAAAAGGATGGAGCACTACAAATGAGGGCTCAATATTTGTTGCATTAAGTTGTTGTGCTCTAATGTTGTCTAAATGTACTTGTATGTTAATGTTGTTTGTATACTATGCTTCACATAACTAACACCTGATGTCCTCTACAGAGGAAGCACAATAAAACTAAAATAAAAATATATATCTTTAGTTGTTGTTAGTCATTATGTGTATACCACCCTAAAGACTTGTGTGATCTAAAAAACAAAGGACATTTGAAACCTTTTTCTTTCTGGGTCTCAGGAGGATTTATGCTGCTGCATATTCATAATATGTTTTGCAAGTAATCAGATTTCAACAAACCAACTTAGACATAACGAATATGGGGACCTTAACAAATGCATATTTTGCACAGTTGGTGAAAACAAGTTAAACAAACATGGATGGGATGGATGGTTGATGGAATGATAAGAGCATAACTTCTCTTTTAGTTAGTAACTACAAGTGCAATAAAATACTATTTTCTGACATAGAGAGAAATGTAGGTGTAAAATATTGCAATTTCAGGAGCATTTTAGGCAGATTGTCACTCTCTCACATGATAGCATCACAGAGCTCCTGTGATCACATGCTGTTCCACATAATTATTCATGTGTGCTGTCACGTGCCATCTGTATGGATAAGCAGCTTCACATGCGCTCACACAAGGCAGAGCGTACCGTTATTCATTACATCAAACCCAAATGTGGTTTAACTGTCACGGTAGAGCGAAGGAAGCAGGACCCAAATGCAGATTAAACTGATAATACCTTTATTTCAAGGATAATGAAATAGAACTTGGACAGACAGAACACTCACCGGTGAACACAGTCAACAACAAAAGACGAACTGACAAAGACAGACAGAAAAACCATAACTTAAATACACACAAGACTAATCACACAAACAAGACACAGGTGAGGAGGGAGGAGAAAACACAGGGACACCAGGTGAACACAATCGGGTAATCAGACACACCAGGGAAACTAACGACAGGGAACCACAGACAGATCCAAACAAGACAAAACACAACGCAGACAGAAAACCAAAAACAGATCAAGACAAGACAAAACACCACAAAGACAGATCGTGACATTACCCCCCCCTCAAGGGACGGATCCCAGACGTCCCAAAAAAACAAACACAAAAGTCCAAAACCTCAAGCAGGGTGGGTGGAGGGGGTCCGGAGGAGGGACGTATCACTAGGCCACCAGGGTGGGTGGAGGGGGTCAGGAGGACGGGACTGAGCTGACCGCCCAGAGGCACAGCAGAGGACCAGGAAGGGATCTCGGGCGGACGGCCCGGGGGCAAGGCAGAGTTCAAAAAGGGGGATTCGGGCGGACGGCCCGGGGGCAAGGCAGAGTCTAAGGTGCGGGACTCGGGCGGCCGAGCATGAGGGCGACGGCAGCGGCAGGAAGAGTCAGGGGGCCGGGCTCGAGGACGAGGGCAGCGGCAGGAAGAGTCAGGGGGCCGGGCTCGCGGGCGAAGACCACGGCTCACAGAGGGCCGGGATCGAGGGCGAAGACCGCGGCTCTCAGGGGGCCGGGCTCGAGGGCGAAGACCGTGGTCTTCGCCCTCGAGCCCGGCCCCCTGAGAGGATAAGCCCAATATCAGCACTCATTATATGTATCTGTATTATCAGTTTGCTTGTGTATCTGTGTTGTAGAGATGATCCGTGTCAAAATATACATGGGGGAAAAAAGAGGGTCAACAGAGGCCCGCAGATAAATTCTCCTTTATGGATTATTCTAGCCATGCTAATGGTAATGGTTTAATATGTAATATAACAAATGTGTTCACTAATTAATAATATTGCTTATAGTTTGACAGCTTGTCCAAAATTAGTATTTTTTCATGGCCATGGTAACAATTGTGTTCATGTGTTTTTTATTACATTTCCCAAAAGATGGCGTTAATAACATGAATAAGTATCTCACCCCAGCGGTTGTCAACCTCTGGCCGTGGGAGAAGAAAGCATTACTTCCACACTGGGAAAATGCTTTATTACAATATACAAGTAAAGATGTGTCAAACCTTACTTACTGTAAGTAATACTATTTAAAACAATGATAACAGTAATACAAATAATATTTATATAGTGCTTGTTTTCCTT